TGATGAGAGAACCTGAGAAATGGACAAGAGCCTACGACGATGGTGGATGGAGGTACGAGTTTCAGACTAGCAACATGGCAGAGTCATTTAATAGTGTACTCAAGGGTATACGTGCCATGTCCATCAATGCCATTGTATCATTCACCTTTTATAGGCTAGTTGCATGGTTTAACGATAGACACGCTCAAGCAATGGTACTACAGAGTAATAATCAGAAATGGGCACCTAAACCTAATAAGCATCTCAACAAGGCAAAGGAAAGGGCTGTCACACATGACATCGATTGCTTTGACCACAGCACCGGCAAGTACCAGGTCACAGAAAGGGGTGGTACAACGTCCGATGGTGAGGTCCGGCCATCAAGGAGTTATATTGTGGTACTTAGTAATTTCTCATGTCGATGTGGGAAAACCAGGCAGCACCACTTCCCTTGTTCTCATTATGTTGCAGCATCTCAGCATCGCAACTTTGCCTATGAGACCCAGATACCGTCGGAGTTTAGTGTTGACAGCCTTGTACAGACTTGGTCTCCCCATTTCGAGCCTTTCCTAGACGAAGGTCAGTGGCCACCTTACACTGGGCTGAAATACATTGCGGATCCAGGTACCTGTTGGGACAAACGTGGAACCCGGAAGAGGACGAGGCACAAGATGGTCATGGACCAGGTTTCCGGTAGAACAAGGCGAGGGAGAGCAACCCCCTTTCTTACTGACCCCGAGCAGAACCAATGTGGCAAATGTGGTAGACTTGGGCATAATTCACGTACATGCCATTGGCCACTTAGTCAGGTATAAATAACTAATGTTTCACATGCATGTTTACTAGTACCAAAAAGTTATTTATTTATTCATATAAAACTTATCTGTACTTTGTCATTATATTTTGTAGGATGGAGCCGTTCCACCTGCTGGAGCCGTACTATGAGGAGAACCACTGAGGACGACTCATCGCGGAGGGGGAGGTAACGACTTTACTTCTGCATGTTATTTTTCCTTTGCACATGTACTTGTGTTCACGAATTAATATTATAATTTCTATTCTTTGCAGGAACTGAACCCTCTTTGTCCTCGTTCCCACGATAAGTTCGAGGACATGCGGTACGACAATAGGTACACTCCTCTCCTTGAGAGGGCTGGACTTGACGTTGTATCATTCCAGGTTCGCCGTGGGGTGCCTGCCTTCAACCCCGCGGCGATCTCAGCTCTAGTTGACAGGTACCAAAATTATAAACAGATTCACTTCCATTTATTTTTTCTGTTCTCGATGTGCATATAACCTTAGTACTTCTTTCTTGTTTTGTAGATGGAGGCCGGAGACGCACAGCTTCCACCTACCTTGCGGAGAGATGACTGTTACTCTTCAGGACACGCAGAAGTTCCTGGGTGTCCGTATAAGTGGCCGCCCAGTTATCGGGCCCTGCACTGCTACTGGTTGGAGAGGTAGAGTGGAGACCTTCCTTGGACGAGAGCTTCCTCCAGAGACACCAGGTGCCCGCTCCTCTGGAGTTCTCATTAGTTGGCCGAGGCAGAACTTTGGTCAGTGTCCTGATCATGCAGACGAGCAGACAGTTACCTACTACTGCAGGGCATGGATCATGCATCTTTTTGGTTGTGTTGTGTTCCCCGACGCGACGGGAGACACCGCGTCATGGATGTACCTGCCCTGTCTTACTGACTGGGACACGGCAAGGGGCTACAGTGGGGGTTCCGCAGTGCTGGGGTACTTGTACCGGTAGCTTTGCGAGGCTTGCCACCGGAGTTGATTGTGATTGTTCGATGTGGTTGTATTGTGGTCTTTGGACGATTAAATATTTGGATTATCTAATGATGTCTCTGCTTGTAACTGTGGATGCTCCTGAAATAAGGGAAACTTTTGCGAATTTTTTCCGTGAATCATTAATTATACTTCACTGCTACAAAGGCCCAAATGTAGTACACAAATTAAATATAAATTCAGTAGAACGTGTATAGTTCAATCGTATCGTACAGATGCTTTGCAGATGAATATAGGCTTTTCAGTAACAGTAAACGAATCTAGGCTTTTCAGACAATAGTACACCTATAGGTACGAAGGCATGCAAGGAAGCACAACTCCACTCCATCTCCACCATCCATCTTATTACTGTTTGATCCAACGGCTGAGGCGAAGAGGCACATGGATCGCTGACATGGCACATTGAGAGGCCTCCATTCCTCGTCTCAACCTATAAATAACCCCTCACTCCCTCTCATTCAAGCACACAACAATGTCTTTCGTTGCAGTACCAATGTCTAGAGGGTCATCTAGAAGGAGAGGAAAAGGGAAGGAAACTACCGTTAGGTGGGAGGGTCCTCTTGGTCCTGATTTATTTGAGGAAGCTCTTTATGATAGGTTCCCAGTCGAGAGCAAAAGTGATTTCACCAAAGAGGCTCCACTGAGAGGATACGATGAACGGAAAGAATAGTGGCCAAAATGCATGCATGGTGAGGACTATCTAGTGCAGATGTTCACCGAGGGAATAGATGGAGGCCGACGTTTCTTCAAATGCCCGCGAGCATGGGTAATTGTTATTACTATTTGTTTCTTCAATATGTTCATCTTCTATATAACTTACATGATATACTTATTACGGTCTTCCTTGTCCGAAGAAAGCTGTGGGTTCACTAGGTGGGTCGATCCTCGACCTATTTATCCGCATGCGGAGTACATCTACTACTCGTAGGACCATATCTTCGATCTAGAAAGAGAAGTTAGCAGTGGTTACAAGGACAACGAACAGGAAGACGACAACAATGGTGCCAGTTCATAGGAGGCACTCTGCAATAATCCATATTGTACCTACCCTAATCACAGGAACAAGGGTCCTCCGTCGCCACCCCCGTCGCCACCACCACCAACAATAGGAGGATACTTTGGAGAAGGTGCAACACAATTTGATGTGACCACACTACTAGGACAAACCAATCTTTTTAAAGTGCGGCATCCATGTGTTTGTTTTTTTGCTTTAATCATCTAAGGCATGTTAGCATTAGTTGAAGAAATATGTACCCTTGTTTGGCACATGTTCTCACATGCCATTTCATGTGCTTGTTGTTTGTTTCAATTATCTAAGGCATGTTAGGTTTAGTCCAGGACCTCAGTACCCTAGTTTGGTATATGTTATCACATGCCATTTCATGTGTTGTGTGTGTTGAATTAGGTAATCCACTACTTCGTTACGTTTTATTTGCACTACTTGACCTCGTTTCACTACCTATGCAATATTAAATTCAATATTATGACAACAAATAATGAAACCAACAACACTATGAAAGGTCCAATAATAGAGCACATTAATCAATATAACAACATTTAAAGTACATGGCGACAAACTAAAAGTGCATTACATGACAACACAATGCAAAGTCCAAGATTAGACAACATTGTTCGTGAATATACCATAGAAATACCAAGTCATGAAGACTATTGAGTGCAACGAGGCCACTTTCCCTTCCTCTGGGCATCGGGTTTCTCCTCCATCGCTGCCTTCGCTCGCTGCGCACGCTCAAGCTTCCTCTCCCTCTCCTCCCTATGCGAAGCAACACGCCTCCTTTCCTCCTCTTCCTTGTGCTCCTTTTCTAGAGCCTTCTCTCTGCATCTCTTCTCCATCATCTGCTTGTCATCTGCCTCCCACCGTAACAGTTTCTGCATCCACTCATTGTCTTCCGACTTGATCTCAGTGTCGATCCACTGCTCAAAATCACAGAGCGGTGGAGGGGTCTGCAACAAATGCAATTGTTACAAAATAAATAAATCATGCAAGACTTCATTTGACACAATAAATATTAAACAACATTAATTTCTCACCATCTTGTTAATGCGGCGCTGACGAAGTGTAGGCTAAAACGTAAAATTGGCACACATCCAATACCTCTGCCTATATGTGTCATCTTCATCGGACTTGGCTACCTTGCAAGGATCGCCGCAAAAGCACATGGGCACTGTAACACCACTAGGCAGAGGCAACGGATCGAAGGCATTTTCGGTCATCCGGCCTTAACTACAGTTGAATCAAATTTGCTCGAAGAACCAAAAGCATTGAACAGTAAACCCTAAACCTAGGGTTTTTTCTATTTGTTGCACATAAATGAAAACATAATATAATACGATGATAAGAGATTACCTTGGCTTACTAGCTTTACCACGCCTTGGCATCCTACCGTTACATAATACAAAAAATAAAAAATCACTTCAGACATTAGGTAATAACGTATCTAGGGTTGCAAAATAGACGTAATATATACCAAATCAATGCGTAAATTTTGATAAGGGGAGAGAGGATACCTCGCTCGCGAAGATGTATGGATCAAATCCAAGTATCCAAGGTCAAATCCGTCGATTCAAGAGATTGGACGGGGTAGGCAGAGAAAGAAACCGAGAGGGGGATGAAGAAATGAGAGCAGTGTCGGCCAGGGAAACTTGGTTTCGGATTTTAAATCAATGCTTTGCGCCAGAATACATGGCGCCGAACTCAGCGCCAAGATCTGTGGCGTCGAGGTGCCAGCCACGTAAACGCCACCTAGGATGGCTTGCTGTCCTCGGCCAGGGCACCTCGGCGCCAAGATCTGTGGCGCCAAGACGTGTTACCTCGGCGCCATGGTTCCTAACGCCGACCCCCAGGGTCCAAAGATGAGTTTAAGTCTTCCAGGGGTCAAACGTATATTTTTTTTAAAAAAAGGCCAAATTGTAAAAAATTAGGTCGTCCAATCATCTTTTGGTGGGTATTGAATACTATGGAACGGACACAGTGAATTTATACAATTTTATGTGTCTGTACAAGAGCATATCCCATTATTCTTTCGTGCCACAAAACCGGCAACACTGGCCCTGCTTCCTGGGAACATCTACAAAAAAATGCTCACCCTCAATACTTGCAGCCTCCACTTGAAGTTTCACGCCCATCAATCATGGAATAAGTAAGATCCATGTCCACTGATGCCACGTTAAGCAGAAATACCCGCAAGAATCATCCCGTTGATTCGTCATGCAACAAGAACAGACGACGGCTTCTTGAAGCTGGAGCTACTTGCTTTATTCGAAGATGTGATCGCCCTATCCTTTGAAACAGGGCCTAAAACAAATTCTGAAGAATTTGATTGTTGATTGTTTTCGCTCTGGTCTGGTCGAACCCAGATTTTGATGAGGCCCTCACGGCAGATGGTGAGGATTGATTCATTGGTGAACACCAGACCAGATAGGGGATCGGCATGTACTCGGTGGGCAACAAGGGGCGAGAGTTTGGGGACATCTCGCGTTCTAGGAGAAGGTTGAAGAACACCTGTTGGAGGACATGCATTGTCCCAGTGCGCAGAAGGGCTCCCGCTGCTAAACGTCGGTGAGGCACTTGAAGGATGCCGTAGCGGGACAACAATCTCATCCAGTGCCAGGTCCCATAGAAGTAGTTGGGTGTCCTACAATCATGTAACAACGAAAATTTACGCCGGCAATAAATCATGTTGCAAGCAAAATGCCAACTTGCAATTTAAAGCTTGTCATGTGGTTATATTTAAGCATATATTAGTATGCTCAAGAAGTTCTAGGCAAATAACTCCATGCCAAACAGGAATACAAGGAAAATAGCCGTCCAATACTTATGTTTACTTACATAAACATAAATTATTTTCAAAAAAAAATCATGAGAAAATAACCTCATCAGTACTGAAAAAAGTAGTAACTCTCTTATCCCTGGTCTCGAAAAAATAAAGCAAATTGATCAGTTCCATCCATTTCAACAGTGGACTGAGAAATCTGCCCACAGCTCCATTAATATTAGGTCTCAAAATAAACCAGCAAGACAAGAAAATGGAAAGGCCGGTCTTCCAATTTCAGGTGTCATTATTATTTTTATTAACAAAGTATCTTCACCTTCTATAATATAGTTAGGATTAAAGCTTGCAACAATTCCCATATGTTTTAATATTTCAAAACTCAAACTACAGTTCTAGCTATATAAACTAGGCATACCTGACCAACAGAACCAAAGCGATAGACATTTTCTCCATTTCCATCAGAACTTGGTGGGGACCAATATGAATCAAAAGCAACTCCACTAACCTGCCACCAGAAGAAAAATAGCCTCATTCTCAATCAACAAGATTTGACAAAAGACACTAAGAAAATTTAAGGGCAGGCGAAACTATTACCCATGAATTATGTCCTTCACCCCAAGCAACTATCTTTCTATCATCCATGCCCCATACCTGAACAAGATCATCTTCACCACCTGTTAATAGATATTTTCCATCTGAGCTGTAGACAAAACAATAAATAGGTTAGAGGCTGAAATGTTATTTTGTGTGACAAACCCATATGACAGTGATAAAACATTTGCAGATACAAAGATCAGCGACATATTGATGTAGAGATCAAATGAATGGGGCAATGCAACATTACTGAAACACTGAAACTGGGATATTAAACCATGGTGCTGAGCCAAAAAAAAAGAATTGCATGAACAAACCATGCTACAAAGTGTTGTGAATCACATGACTAAAAAGACACCTGTTAAGCATGAACAACCAAGGGCAGATGGAAGCCAACCAGTGATCAATAGAAGTTTAGTAGAATAGTAGCAACATATTTTAAGCTTTGAGAATTGAGGCTGATCAGGCAGCCAGCAAACTTAGTTGCCAAGCACAAGCATGAGTCATGACTAGCAAGTACCACAAAACATAAAATACGTGGATAGGAGATAAAGAGCATAACAAGGGAAACACATAGGTGGGTATATTTCCCAAACAAATCAAACTACACAAGCCATTCACATTTACCTCCAAGTGCAACACAACAGTGCACCATAATAACTTCTTCCACCAAATATTAGTTGTTCCTTTGAAAATCGAAAACTCTCAAATAACCTGCATATTGTTTATCAATGTTAGATGTTAGTTTAAGAAGAAAGAAAATCAGTGGACCCTATGATGAAGTAAAAAAGCATGAGATGCCTAGGGCAAAGCAAGTACCATCTCTCCCAACAGTCGCCAAGTATGTGCCATCAGGTGAAAAGGAAATTGCATTGATCGAACCTTGACATATATGCCATCTAGCGACTGGGTTGCTCTGCAATGTTATTCGTGACATAAATCCCAGTTAATTATGTTGCCACATTTTCAAGGACAAGCACGTTCTATACCTTGATCAAAACTCTTCTAGTCAAATGACAAGCAGGAATATTTACAAGATACACTAACAAGTAAACTCACAGAACCATAAAGTTCTTGTAGCACAATAGATTCTACATCTAGTTGTCAAAACCAATAACACTGCCCAGGTGGAGGTAGTACAAAAGTATAGTGTTCAAGACAGACAGCATGCTACCAGAAATGTTGCTGAATGCTAGGAGCAAAGACTGAAATGCAAGCATAAATCAATTAAGTAAACAATTAACGGTTCTGAAGGACAACTTTTATATTTTAGTTCAGTCACTTAAGCATAGGTACTCTGCACCTGGAATCATTTTAATGGAGTGCTCTCTTAAATACTTGAGATTTGTGTCATTATGTGCAACTTTGACAGGAAAAGTAATACAGTAGTTATCACTGTTTAGTATCTAACATAATGCTGCGTAGAGCTGAAGGGTTGAGCCATTCTCTAATACCAATACCAACAACCAAAAAGAGCACATGTTATAATGTTAACTAATGCTAATGGCTAAAGCATCTTGCTTCACCAAAGTAATGCACTTTAGGAAAGCAGTCACGGAAGAACCTAGAATACCTTACTTGACTTTGCATGTGCAACCATAAACTGGGATTGATCCTTCACAGCTGGAACGCGTACAGTCTGTGTTCCCATCCTTGTTCTGAAAACAACAAAAAAATAGAACATCAATTCAAAATCAACCAAAGGTCGAGTAAGGTATTTTTGGTAGCATGCTGTCTGTCTTCCCATCCTTGTTTCAAAAAAAAATCAACCAAAAGACCAAAATAAAGTCTACCAAATTATTATCAAACTCTATAACTAGCAGCTGCTCACTTTATCATACACGTACAAATTTCCATCAGAATGGCTAACAACGAAAATGCCTTCACGCTCTGGTACCCATGCGACAGAAGTGCACCGACTGCAAAACATTAATATCCAAATCTTGATTAGAGAACTAAGTTAAATAAATGGAATAAGATAGGCATCCACATGGACTATAACAAAACAACATTATGCTTATATTGCACCGATATCAAGCTTTAGATAGCTTGGGTGCCACTGAAAGAAGTTCCAGAGAAGCCAGTTAAGAAAACTATCCCTTTAATTTCACTAGCAAACAAGTTTAAGGATTCAAAGGCATGCAAGCAGCTGCTTTTTGTCACAAGATGATGAGCGTGCAAAGAATTAAATTATCCAAACTTCAAAATAAGATTGCTTCAGGCAACAAAAGCAAGTTTGGGCTTCGAAAGTGCTCCTTGAAAGCACAGTCGAGGAATATATATATAGACATAGAACCCATAGCTTTACCACAATGCTGTGAAGGACAAGAAGAACTGGCTCCACTAAGATTAGATTCATAGCATTGCTTTAGTACACATTTATGTTAGAACTCTAGAGTAGAAAGCTAAAAAAAACTGAGAATCATGGTGGATGCAGGTAACTTTGCTAGCTACTAAACTTAGACTCATATCTGAATTCTGAATTGCTGAACTTAAAACCAAATAAGAATAATGGGTTCATGTATACATATTAACAGACATTCACCTATGCTAACCTTGATCATGTCTGAATCTGATATGTTAAATCACAGAACAGTAATATAAAAAACATGTAATCTAAAATATTTATGAACAATGTCGATAAATTCAAAAGATCATATGTATCAGGTATTTCATTCAAATTAATAATGAAAAATTCAATCATACCTTCCATTGGGTGAGACATCTTTATCACCCTTATTGTAGTGTAGAGCTGCCACAGGTTTTCTTCCAGGATCTTGTAACTGTTGCCTCAGCGACATTGAATAGACTGCACAACAGCCCATAAAAGAAACGAAAATGAATGTCTCAGACTTATGCACAGTCCAGTTTGAAGCATAATGGGGCTCAACTAATCATCTCCACTAACCATCCCCTGATCCCATCCCAATGATCAGGTCATGCCCCTCTTTGGCCTCTGGGTCGAATGCATGGCACAGTGGGTTTGAGTTGCTGAAATGGATGGACTTTAGTGGATCCTAGTGCAAGTAAACAGATGATCAGAAAAGAGCAAGACACCAAAAACTGTGTGTAGCTTGCATCCAGTAAAACGACTGAATACCTTCTCCTGAGAATTGAGATCACTGATGAATAGTGTATCAGCAGTATTGAATACAATATATATACCCTTTCCATCATAATTTGTGGCCCCTTGTGATCCACCAAGGCCTGTAGATGTACCAAGGCCTCCTCCTCCTATACGGCTGCTTCCAGCAACAGCCCGGTTCGCGCCATTGCCGCCGCCAAAGCTAAGTGCCTTGCTTCCGTTCCCAGTGCCCAGCAGCCTTGCTGCCGCAGACCGCATCCCACTGCTGGAGCTTGGTGTCGATGGCTGGGAGCCCTGGCTAGCAGGCTTCTCCTTGAGGTATGCCACTGTCAACTGTGATAAAAAAAATGCAAAGCAATGGCCATGGTAAATCATTTCCCAATCAGAACATAAACTTATTATCAAACTGTAGAAGTCCAAAGCGTATGGCAGAATAGAGAAATAAACCAACAAAGGTCTTCACTAACATAAAGCTTCCATTTATTTACAGTGAAACCAAACAGAACCACAACTTCACTGATGAAGCGTCCAACGAACCAACAGCTAAACTAAACCGTCCAAAATGCCTAAGATAACTCTATTCTGTAGTACCAAGTACATAATTCTACAATCACTGCCGTAAATTTGCCTCAAACGGATGCTGCATCCCAATTAAAATCCTATTAGCAGTGATGAAAAGCCTACCAAAAGTATCCATCCACCGCAGCAGCCCGCGTAGATCCCCTAGCAGAAGCACACTTCCCACCCGTACCTGCGAGACGGTCTTGCCGCCGTGGCTGTAGTGCAGCACCGCGGAGTGCGTCTTCTCGTACTGCAGCTTGTACCTCCCCTCGGGCGTCTTGAAGTAAGTCTTGAGCCCCGCCGCGGCGCCGCCGCCCCCAGCCCCCGCGCCCGGCCCGACCCCGGGCGCCCCCGCCATGCCAGGCGCCACCGCTGCCCGCCCTTACTCTCTCTCTCCCCGCAATCAATTCCCAGCCGCAACCCTACCGCCGCTAAATCCGCCGGCTCGGCCCTGGTCCACGGGGACTAGGTGAGCGCGGGTAAGGCTTCCTGATGGCGGAGACGGATCTAGGCGGCGGCGGCGGTGAAGTGGAGGGGGCGAAGAGCGGTGGCTGCTGGCTGGCCCGATTTGGGAGAAGACAGACCGAGAGGCCGAGACGACGAGGAACAACTGCTTTGGTGTACTAGTTTGGAGGCGGAAAAATAATTAAAAAAGCGATGTTGGTGTTTATTTTGCGCTATAAATAAAATTAAATGGCAGCAGAAAAGAAAAGGCGGAGCCCACCAGTCAGCAAGATTGCCGCCCGCGGCGCGAAGGGGCGTTCCGTGACGCCACCGAGACTCATCGGGCCTGTTTGTTCCTGTCTCCATTGAAGCCCGGCTATGATTAAAATCTAGTAGGTGGGCTTGGCCTGCTTTATCAAGCCAACGTGCACTTATTTGATTGCATAGACTATTTAAGCCTGGTTTAGAATTAGTGTGTTTGGTTCTCTGACTTGGCTTGATAGAATCGCCTTTATCTACTTCCCCGGTAACTTCACCCTCTATAGCACATTCTATCAAGTTTGAATTTAGTTTTTTTTGTTTTTCCTGTTTTCAAAACTTAGAATCTTTGAAAGCAACAAGTTTTTTTATGTTGGGCCTTTAATTAATGTTAGAGATCTCAGATCGATAAACAACTTTGCTTAAAGACGATCATCAAGTTGTTTTGCAAAATCGAGAGAACGAGAGAGAGGAAGATGTGCTGTCAATCGCTACAGTAGCACCTTCTGCTTCACCGTCGGCAATCTCCACGCCGCCAGAAATTATTGCTGTCGCAACGCCACCTCCGTCCGATTCCTCTTGCATGCGCCTTCACCTCGCCTTTACGCACCACCACTGCTCGCCAGACGCTTATAGTCGCCAGAATCGTCCCTGCCAAGTGCGGTTGCTTATGGTCAGCCACCGTCGATAGTAGCACGGCAATGGACGCCTCCCGCCGTGGCCGCCACAAGCAAAGCGCCCAAGGCCCCACGACCCTCCCCATGATGCCGCTCCTAACACCGGCACCGATCACCGACTCTGGCCTCCAGGATCTGCGAGATCCATGGGCAAGGTTGCCGAGGGTGGCGCGACCATGCGCGGGACCACCGGGCAAAGGCGGACGCGTGCATGGTGTCGGTCAAGGGACCCACAGATACCCCGCAAGGAAGAGAGAAGATCTAGTCTAACTAGGATTCTCCCCATGTAATCTCGAGAGTAGTATTTTATAATCCTACTAGGAACTTTCATTGTAAACCGACTAGGAATCAGACCTCCTGACTATATAAAGAAGGGCAGGGTTCCTAGAGAGAGAAAAAGGACACTAGACAATCAATCCAACGCAAAGGCTAACGCCGATGGGACGTAGGGCTATTACTCGACCACAGTCGAGGGCCTGAACCAGGATAAATCGACTGTCTCTTGCGTTCACCGTCGAGTTCCGCATCATCGCCGAAGCCCTTAACAATATCGCCTCGGGGACCCCGTGGCGTGCTATCGATGGTAAAACATCGACAATGGGCGCGCATGTAGGGATTTCGGCGAATTTGCATCCGAGAGCTCGATGGACCTCAACAACATGATCTTCTCAACGGGGTCAACTTTCATCTTCGGCTCATGGATCTGCGAGGCGGACAACAATGGCAAGCTCCAAAGTTGTCTCCTCGAAGATTCGAAACACCATGAAGACTATTCTATTCCGACGACTACGACGCACCAAATCTCCGGAGGATTCGCAAGAGCTCATAATGTCCGATTCAACTCAGTTCTCATGGGTTTATGATCCGACTCAATTCGAGCTCCGCATCCGAGTTGGAGTCTTATTCGAGTCCTTTCGGGAAACCGAGTTCTTTTTCCGATGGGACTTAAAAACGCGGCCCTGACCTATCAAGAATACAACTCGGAGTACGTGTAGAATCTTTTCAAGAAGTCAGATCTTCCTTCACTCGGACTCCTCAACATGGCAACATCTTATCAGGCACGGCTCAGAGAAGTCCTCGATCCAGTACTAAGAATGCCACTGAAGGGAGCTCAGGAAGGTCTCGTCCTGACTATAACATCTCAAGACTACATCGCTCATCGGCGGACTCTATTCCCGAGGATAACAAGATTCGATCGACAACGTGATTTACGACGGTTGTTCTACCTTACCAAGAAGGAGACTCGATATGTGACCTCGAGGCATCTACTAAAGTCATCAGCAACCCCGACAGTATGGAAACTAACGCTAATAACAGAACGGATCACGCACGGGAAGTACTCATGGTTCGACGTCCTCGGTCACCGTTAAATCCCCCAGAAGCACCCGATGTTAGGTCATCGATGAATCGAATCCAACATATCACCCTTTGCCTGTGGCTACGATGGAGAAACCGAGAGTCGAGACAAGCTAGAGAAAGAAAAAAAACAAGTTGAAGCAAGGGCGCCAACACCGCATTTCAGGCAAAGCGTGTGGGGAAGCCTAGATCGACATCGAGTCGAGTTGGCGAATACTGACGTAAGAAAATCACAACGAGAAGTCAAAGGAAGACGCACGGCAAATACGCCTTTACGATAAGATTCGAGAAGCATTAGAAGAACTCGAGCAACCTCACATCCCGGTGAGAAGTATGAATAGCTCCAGGACTTGCTCCGATCGACGATCCCGAGAACACATGAAGAGAGAGCACTCGACAGATCAACAACCCACAGGCAAGAAGATCAAAATCAAAGGAAGTCCGCTTTCGAAAGACTTGGGCCAGTGGAAATCATAACGGAGAAAGTAGGAAGGATCAAAGTCAAGGCCACCGAATTGAACAACCAAGAAAGACCAGGAGTAGGGCGCTCCCGCCTGATGGCCTCGCAAAATTATTCCCATCAAAACAATGGTTGGCCGAAGGAGGTGCCAAATCGTAATTCGTAGAGAAGCGGAACACATGATGATTTCCTTGTTTTGCGAATGTGCTTGCATCAATACGATTACCTCACAAGTTCAAACCATCCAACCACTCTAAGTATGATGGCAAAACTAAACCAAGGCAATGGCTCGTAATATATTCACAATCAATTGAACTAGCCGGAGGAGACGATTTATATCAAGACCTCTGTTTTTTCTCATGGCCCCGGAAGCCATGCCCTCCAATGGTTCGGCAAATTAAATCCAGGATCAATCGAAATTGGGAGGACTTGCAAAGAGCTTTTTGTGAAAATTTCAGCAGAATCATTACACATCCAATCACTCATGTAGAACCGAAAGGACTCAAGCGTAGGGAGGCGAAAGTCTCGAGATTACTATCGATTTATTCGCCAACTACGGGCTCAAGTGCATGACATCACCGAATCTAGAAGTAATTGAAGCTTTCTCTCACGGAATCATGGCTAGGTGGCAATTTCAAGACTTCTATAAAAAAAATCCGAGAAACAATGAAGAATTCGAGATTTAACAAGAGAAAAGATGATTACCGCAGAAGAAAAAACACGAGAGAGTTCCCTGATAGAAGCAACCAGACAACCCCGACAAGCAAAATCATTGAAATAGCGTACATCAAGAAAGAAAACGAGACCGCATAATACCGTGGCAATGGTCGACAAATCAAAGAAGTTTTCTAAACCCGTAAGATATGATGACATTGAAAAATACGCTGCCCATTGCACCCTAATGGGAGGCACACCATCGGAAATTGCTACACCTTCAATGATCGATACACAAGAAAAGATAGCAAGGAGAACACCAAAGAGGACAATCGAAAAAAGATGAAGACAACCACGAAGACAAAGGATTCCAAAACCTAGGGAACGGTAGCGAGAATCTTCTCCTGGGCTCCAGATTGCGTATAAACATCAAGAAAAACTAGCACTACGGACTATCATGACTAAGCAAACCTGCTACTCCAAGATATCTCAATTGGTCACAAGATTCAATCCAATTTACTGTGAGAAGACCAATGGACTAGAGTGGGAAACGCAGGCCATTATCCACTGGTTCTAGATCCAACTATTGCTGGTATGACTGTCACCAAAGTACTAATCGACGGGGGAGCCGGGCTCAACATCATCTTTTTAGAAACGCTAAGGAAGATGGGACTACAACTCACGGATGATTACACCAACAAGTACACCTTTTTACGACATAGTACCCAAAAGGCAGCCATGCCACTTGGACAAATTACTTTACCGTTACTTTTGGAACTCCTTCGAACTACCGAACGAGTTCATCAAATTTGAGGTTGCGCACTTCGATTCGTCAGATCATGCAATCCTCGGACGCCCAAAGACTAGCAAAATTCATGGCAATACCACATTATCCGTATTTCATCGCTTAAGATGCCGTGACCCAACGGTGTCCTTTCTATTCAAGTGATTTGAAGCGTGCTTTTGATCATGACGTTCAGCAATCCAAATCGCAGCCCAAAGCACAAGCGAAAATGGAAGAAAAGAAATAGCCACAATTGTCAGAGAGATAAGCCAAGAAGAACTAGAAATACCGCTAAAAAGCCTAGTATTATCGCACCACCAAAAGAAGCCGACGCAAGCAAATCGACCAAGACCGGCGATACCTCCAAGACAAAGAACCATCGCTGCTCACTTCTCGCAAAATAGGAACTCGCGCCACCAACTTTCTTCGGGACAACAAAGATATCTTCGCTTGGAAGCCGCCGACATGCCGTGTGTCCCAAGAGTTGGTTGGTGAGCACGTAATTGATATTAATGAAAGCTCCAAGCCCAGAAAGCAACGGCTACGACGATTCTCACCGACAAGAAGGCAAAGAATTAAAAAGAAATCACAAAGCTAATGGCGGCTTGATTCATTAGAGAAATCCTTCATCCAGATTGGCTAGCAAACCCAGCCTAGTACGTAAAAAGAACATGGAAGAATAGCGCATGTGTGACTACACAGATCTCAACAAGCACCTTGCCCCT